GGGGGGGGGGGGGGGGGCTTGAGGTATTAACTGGTCCAGAACTCAAAAAACTACCGTTTATTGGGCAAAAATGTCATCTTCTTTCCTGTTCCTCGTGTAAGTCCAGGCGCCTGGTAGCTAAAAATGAGGCTACCTGGAATTTTGGGTACACAGCGATATTTTGGCTTACTTTATGTTTTTTGGGTCGCTGAATCCGAATCTGAAGTTTCCTACCGCGTATCTGGTGAGTCTTTTCCGCTATTTTGAAAAAATGGCCTATAAAGGCATTTTTTTGCGGTTTTTTTATGTAGCGGCTACGCACGAGAAAAAAATCCCGGATTTAGCTAATGTTTTGAGTAGCTGACAAAATTTGGAAGAAAATGGTATATGAATATGCTAGGTTTGCTCAAAAATTGAGGAACCTCGGATCTCGGAACTTTGGAACGCTTCGGAACTTAGCTGACCGCGGCGAGCCGGATCACGCGTTAACGGGTGCGCCGCGAAAACGTGAATGGGTGCGATGTTCACGATGCTGTATCTTCCTCAATTTTTAAGCAAACCTAGCATATGTATACACCATTTTCTTCCAAATTTCGTCAGCTATTCAAAACATTAGCTAAATCCGGGACTTTTTCTCATGCGTAGCCGCTATAAAAAAAAAAAAACCGCAAAAAAGGCCTTTTTAGGCCATTTTTACAAAATGGCGGAAAATTCTCACCAGTTACGCGGTAGGAAACTTCAGATTCGGATTCAGCAACCCAAAATACATGAAGTAAGCCCAAAAAATCGCTGTGTACCCAAAATTCCAGGTAGACTTACCAGGCGCCTGGACTAGTGGGCGGTATTAGTTCTTAAAGTTCGCAAATCTATCAGGTGAACCATTAATGCAGGATCCAGTGCATTGTGCAACTATCCTATTTTTCCCCCACTCGCAGCCAAGCTTCAAAGCTTTCCTGAATGCTGCTCAGAGCATCGCCGAGCATCGTCGAAGCCAGGCTCACGCACTATTCTCATGGACGCCATTCATCTGAGGCTGGTGGCAGGTGAGACAATGACATTACGGCGTGGCTGGGTGCACCCTAGACTCGCTTGTCAGCGGTTCGGTTCCGAGGTGGCGATCAACATGCATCAGCTACGCCCCCCGCCCACCCGGGCGCTCGGGGTCGCCTCACCTTGACGCGCCGCGCCGCGCCGCGGCCGCGGTGGACGCTGCAGAACGGCCACTCTGCCGTGCTAAGGAAGAACGCCGCATGAGCATTCGACAGTTGCCAAATTTCCTTCGAT